AAAAAAAAAAAAAAAAAAAAAAAAAAAAAAACACAAAAATGCGCAAAGCAAAAAGGTAACTATTATTCTCACAAATATTTCACAAATGTTCCTACGAAAGGTAGACCACTGACTAATAAATATCGGTGCTCAGTTCACATTAACGATTAAATGCAACAAAAAGCTTGTGACTAAAAAATACTGGAAAGTCACAACAGGTAAAACTAAAGATTAAACGAACGATGAAAACAGCATTAAAGTGATTTACTGAATAATGAAGCCATGAAAGTAACCTAAAGACAATTTCCGGCCCTCAATAATCATTGTTCCAGTAAATTCATCTACCCGTCCGCTCGGCGGTTCACATTCGACTTCACACGTAAAAGAATTAACGTCGTCAAGTGATTGTAAATTAGATGTAGACGTTAAACCTTGGCGTATTTTTAAATTTGTCTCTCCATCCAAGTTTGAAGTTTCAATATAACACATTGCATATGGTTCGCTGGATGAGAGAAGCAACAAGTCGGCAGGAAAAAGCTCATCATTCAATATTTTTACAAAGTCACCAACAACAACCTGAACCAAAAAAGCGTTATCAAATATAGAGAATAATGAAATTTCAGCTAGACCACTATCTCCTTCTCCAACAGGAATAAGTGAAAGAGCAGCTGGAAGGACTCAAAGATAAAATGTTCTTGCATCAAACTTTCAAATTTTCACATTTGTTCTCAAGAAGAAAGTTTTCTAGAATTACTTTCTGCATTTAAAACACCTCACTTTATGTTCATCCCCAAACTAAAAAACCCTTGATGCACTGTCATCACAAATTGTTTCAATATTAGCCCATATAATTCTATAAATGTCTTAATTAAATCTCAAAAAATGGTGTTTTTTATATCTAATCCCGCTTTAAATAATAATAAAAAGCATTTCAAAGAATTTTACGCTTGCTGCTAACCCTTAGAACGACCTTAATTCCTTCTATAATATAAGATTTTAATAGAAGCGAAGGAAGGATAGAAATGTAGACATATGCAAGAAAGTAGTTATTGTCACTTGAATCACCCAACTATCGTGTTTACCTTATCCCCTGCTTTCCTAAAGGACAAAAGTAAGATCTGTTCCAGCCAGTATCTCCTAACCCTCAGAGTTACTGAACCGGAAAATGGGAACAAAACTAATCATGAAATTTTGGATTTTGTTTTGTAAAGAAACATGCATTTACAATCTTCACCACATCACCAAACCTAGGAAAAGATATCATTTCAGCCAGAAACTTCAGCAGTATACAAGTAAAAGAGAACCTCTTTCCATCGTATATCACTCCACTTGCCATCTCGTAAAACGCGCGTTAAAAAATTGTTCACTTTATCATCAGATCTTTTCCTTTTCTGAAGCAAGTAAATCATTTCTTCATGCCAAACTAAGCACCGTAACTATTCAGCAAGAAAACACATCTTAATACTTATTAAAGTATTTTCAGTAAGTCTAATGTCTTCTTGCCTTCTAAACTGCAAATCTGGCGTTTTTTGAACACGACAAATATACTAGAAGTCCCCAGCCCTTATATATCCAGATTATTGCCAATTTTTATTCCTATAAGGAGCACAATGACTCGTAGCCCATGTAATCGCCGTAATGATTATAACCACTAAATCAAAACCTTGAACGCTTCCCTCATCTTGACTAGACTTATCCATATGATACGGTTCTAGCAAAACAAGTCCTTCACATTACTGGTACGAAACCCAAAGCGACTTTTTTCTTCACCCAAACTTTTTACGCCACGCCGATTTAGATGATCAATAGTAAAGCCTTCAAAAGTACCAAGCGACAAAATGTGTCCAATACAAGCATTAAAGAAACGGAACTAACAAGGTCTTCATAAATCTCCTTCAACGCAGAAACAATAAGAATGATAGTGAACGGAGTTGCTGTAGTATAACGACCGGTTGGACTTACATCCGGAATTTGCTAGAACTTCAAAACGCTGTACAGCGTCTATTATAAAATTTGAACGACGA